ATAGAAGCAGAGATACAAAAACCAACTGTAAAAGGCGGCCCCGTCCAGGAAACACCCAGCCAGGCAGACGAGCTCCGAGCCAACTCCCATGTCAGAGGATGAAGAGAGCACATCCAGCCAGTCACAGCCAGAGAAACAGGACTACACTGGAAAACAGGCCGATCTCCAGCATCTATAAACAAAGGTGTTGATGGCAGCAGCACAGCTGATATTTCTCTCCAGGATGGTGTTACAGCCAAACAGGAAGAGACAAGGCAAAGCTACTATGAGAAAAGGACATAGGACTAGGATAACGTTTAGCCTTTTAGGTAACTGGCACTAAAACCAATTACTTTGTAAAAGTTAATAACGCGTTACTCATTACTGGTCTTTAAACCGATTTGTTATTCATTACTTAATTCTTATAAATAAGGACTACACTTTCCTAGTGTTAGCGTACATGGGCGTACGCTACAACTATGTGAAACTTCAAGCATAAACAGAGAGGAAAGATGATGGCGCAGAGCCACTGATTCATGACAGTGTTCCTACAGTAAAAGCGCTCACTGGAGGCTGAATGTTGCTGTGATTTGTTCATTATGTGCAGAAAAAAAGACTATCAACGTCGGTTAGAATCTGGAATTTAAAGAAGTTCCTCACATCGTTTTAAAAGTGACTGAAAGCTGCTACCTTTAATTAACGCATGTTCTTTACTTTCTCATTGTTATAATGATTTTACTTGTATGATATTTTAATGCAAAAATCCTGGCATCATGCAGTCCTGCTAGTGTTTCTTTTTGGGAATAATGTAACTGCTGTTTGATTCTTTTGCAAAGTATATTTTATTTTTGTTAAATTGCTTGAAAAGCATACATTTTCAGCTTCCTATCAATGTTATAGCCAATTGAAGGCTTTCAATAGGCAATAAAAATGAATGTCAACAGATCTTATTTTTCTTTTATTAGAAACAAAAAACATGATCACATCTACATAATCGCATTGCAAGTCACTTGACAAACCACTCACACCAAAACGGTGCAGACTGGTGTTTAATGTTTTCATATGTTTAGACCTTTAAATCAATTATTTAATCTATTATTTTATAACAAACACCTTGTATTCTATAATTTAACCTCTAGTTGTATTTAAAATTCCAATAACAAGAAAGTCTTCAAAATTCTTCAACACAAGATAATACAAAGTAACTGCAGAGTTACTTTGGCTAATAACTAGTTACTCTAAATGAGCAGTAACTGAGTTACTAACTCTTTTTTGGAATAACTATAGCCAGTTACTTTTTTTAAACACTGCCTAAATCACAACTGATTTACTTGGCTTGTACATCCCCAAGTAATGGGATCCACAGATGGACCAATATGGTGGAAGAAATCATTATTAGACAAATCCTATGCAGCTCCACAATTTTATTTATTGTAATGCTCAATATCAGCAAAGCATATTTGCTTTTACTTCTTTCTTTTTCATTTATTTTCCATGATAAGTGGTCTTATAACATACATTAAAGTTGCAGGACATCATTTATTGCTAAATAAACCTTCTTGGACACTTTTGATGAATTAAGAATTTAAAACGGTCTCTTATTCTTAATTAACAAATAAAATATTTTTATTTTTGCCAACTGGGAACAGGCACCAGCGCCTAGTGACCATAATGGGCAAGTGGTAGAAGATGTAAGAATAATTGTTTTAATTTTTCTTGTATAGTTATGCTACTACAATGACAGGGTAAAGCCTTTGATTTTGCTGTATCTGCTGTTGTTATGCCTTTGGATTTCACTTGCATTTCCTCTACCTTGTCTGTATTTAACTGCTGACGTAGAATTGTTTGTCCATATTCTAGATTCTTTGTATTGTTGGCTGGTTGGTTGATTGTTTGGTTAATAGTTTGGTATGTTATTGGATTAAATAATTGACCAGTGCGTGGGTCAATTGGTTTGTTAATTGACCAATTAACGCCCGAGTTATTGATGAACAGGTTGGTTGGTTGCATGAGTATTAATTGACTGAAGTGATCAACTGATTAGCTAGTTAATTGACATAGTGATCAGTCTGTCACAGCATAAAAAGTGAAAAATCCGACAAAGAGAATGTTAAAAAATATGGCTTTTAAGTTTAATGGAAAAAGAGTTTTGAAATGGGGAGGAAAAAACAATGGCAAGATTTTCTTGAAACTTTTGTCAGGTGACCCTTTTTTAAAAAAGGGTTAAGAAACACTTCTTGAATTAGGTCACAGATTTTTCCTTGCACTTAAACATGACATCACAGGACTTCCTGATCTAATAATGCTTCCAGCAGGCTTATTATGTCCATTTAACTGGATAATGGAGCTTCACTGGATTGGTAGAGACAATGAGGACACAGAAAAAGGCAGATGCTCTGTCCCTTGTGACGTCTTTTCTTGCACACACACACACATATGGAGAAACCACAAGTGGAAGCTTGTAATTTTCAGCCTGGTGGCGTTTATGTCTGATCTAGCTTTTGTTGTATGGGCTGAGTATAGTTGTGGAGAGGCAACATAGAATCATGCACATCCGCAAATGACAGCTCAGAGTCAGAAGAGACCAAGTTCATTGAGTGCAAGCTTCACACCACATGAAATTCATTTAAATGTTCCTCTTTTTACTATCAACAGATCACATGCAGCCGGAAAAATAAAAGGTCAACCAAGATGCAGCATTTCATGAATCAACACGTAGTAAAAGATTCTGTCCTCAGAGATGCCAACAGAGGGATAACGCTGCTGACCTCATAAAGGAGCGTTCTTTATTTAAACTGAAAAAAATCAATTATTGTCTTTGTGCGTAGTTATAGCCACATGACGAAACTTTTTATAATCTGTTAATCTTTGTTAATAGGCTGATTATGATGGATCTGGTTGTGAGGATCATGTGCGCGAGTGTGACGGACCGTGAATGGTCAGTTGTGTTGGCTCACAGAGGAGGAGACTCGTGGATGAAGAGGACATGAAGGCCTTTCTGTATCTCTGCTCTGCACACAAATATGCATTTCATTACTAACTTTAGACAGGAATAGCTCCATGCCTCTGGCTTTTTGGGCTTCAGGCCACCTCAGCTGAGCTATGCTCTGCAATCTTCAATCTCATTGATGGAGTCCTCTGCAGCAGTTTTCTTAGATTCTTTGGCTCTTTAATCATCTCCACTAACATGTCAAATGTTTCTGTATAAAGCTTTTACATATCAACCACTTTCTTGCATTCAATGCTCAAATAAAAACAGAAAACATGGAGAACTACTTGTTCAATATATCACAGGGTGCAATTAAATTGATTCACCATTGACGAAGAAGTGTTATCTGGGAAGTTACATCTTTAATATATTTAATAACATCTTTAATGAGCCTAGAATAAGAACAAAAAGTGCTGTAAAAAAAGGACCCATAGCCCAAAAAATAACTGTGTAAACATAAAAATATATCAATATATATATACAATACTGACCTGAAGTACAATATCAGGATCGCCTTATTGGGAATTATGGCTTGAACAGTATAATCGAACACCACTTGCCAACCGAGTCATTTGTACATTACAAACAACACTGGATAAAAGATCTAGGTGGAAAAGAACAAAGTCGGAACTAAAGTATTGCAAAAATACAAACAAAGCGGGAAAATGCAAATGGTAAGTAAACAACCAGACAAAAAAAAAAAAAAAAAATTATTTCAAACTGACCACAAAAGGCCTCAAATAAGTTGATCAAATTCAAGCAACAAAACATACAAATTATGGAAACACAACTTAACACAATGTAACAGAGCATTGTCTACACCCTGCTTCTTCCTTCTTCAACATTACATCCATCATGGACAGCACCCACCATCTTCTGCACCAGCCTATAGAGGAGCTGAGCAGCTCCTTTTAAGTGAAAGACTTTTACACCCTGTTTGTAAAAAGGAGCTCTACCGCAGGTCAATCATCCCTGCTGCAACTAGACCCTACAATACGACACTACAATGGCAATAACCTGCGCAATGTATAAAGTGCAGTTTACCATTTGATACCCTGTGCAATAACTGTTTCTCTATATTTGACACCAAGTGCAATAACTATATATATAAATATAAACATCCACTCATCTCAATACCTGTGTAAACACCCAATGCAATAACCCGGTATAATTGTCCTACTATAAAGAAAAAAAGCTTTATATATATATATATATATATCCACGCACCTTTTCTTCCTTTGGCACATTCTTCTTTTTTGATAATTTGGGCTGATGTAACGAGTGGATTCAATAAAGTTAATCAATCAATCAATTCTGTAGCAACACTATCATGTTCCATCCACAGGCGCGGCATAACTATTACAATGCTTTTTGCGGCTCCTTCAACTTGAGGTGGTTTCATCTTTAAAATTTTCTGTAGCCATATTGTTTTGAGCTCCGCGTGGATTTGGCTTTGGAAAAGTCTACCTTTTATTGAATTACTGACTTTATTTTAGAATATTCCGAAATTTGATCTTATTCTGGGTTTTAGAACACTGACTATTTTCTTTTAGCATTTTTTCCTGCTGTATAAAAATGTACGCACACCTGTCACAAATAGTATTTTAAAGTGTTCCTGAGAGAAATGGATCCCTGTTTCCTATTATATCTATACCCCTTGAGTTCTGGGCTACTTTTAGGAGCTTTCCTTTCCACAGTCTTAATCCTCGTATCCTGATAGAGTGAAAGTATTGGATCAGATTTCACAACTTAAAGATAGCCATGTCAGCAAAATAAATCCTGTGACTCTCTGACCGCCATCTGCCTGGGAGGTTTTGGAGGTCAGACAGCTATCTGATTACTGGACTCCATAGTAAGTAAAGAAATGAGACAAAGACATTTACATAAACATATACACTTGCCTGGGTCATTAATTAACAGCAGCTCGAAGCAGAAATACCACTGAAGGTTCTTTAAATGAGGCCGGAGAGTCCCCTGGATAATTATGAGCAGCCTGTTTACCATTTCGGTTTTTTTCACGCTTCCTTGGCAGGTCGTCAGGATTTCCTGAAGGTGACCGCTCTCCATCTTGAGCCACTGAAGCTGGTTTGTGGTTCTAAAAATCTTGTCTGCTGTTTAGTTCATTCAGCTGATGTCGAACACTTAGACATAAAAAAAAAGAAAAGAAATAGATTCACTGAATCTGCTGAGGTCTAGAAGTTTTGTTACATCTTGAACAATGTGACCACAGTTTGGATGTAAACAGGTAGATTAACACACCTTTAATAAAAATGCTGTGATGTATGTGGAATATGCATACAGTGTATTTAGATTTGCATTTCAATGTTTATGCATATACCTTGAGATACTTTTTTGTAAAACTTTCTCTTCTTTACCTTTTCACTTTTATTATTATGTTCTATTTTTGGTTGGTTTCGTATAAAAATGTGTCTTGGGCTTACGCAGCATGACAAGCCACTGGTTGGCAGCCACAAATACTTTCAATATGTGTATATTCCCCGATTTATGCTCACTGTTTTGTATCTGTATAATTAAATATCTTTAAATAAAGTGTATAAAAAAAATGCTGTGATATTTTACAACTTCCGAGATGATAAATCAAACTGCATGAGTTGAAAGAAAATTATAATTTTGTTCCAAATGACCTAATTTTGCTTTTCCATTCTGATTTAATGTTTCAGATAATTAAGTACATTTTGTAATCAAACAAAGTTAATCAAAGTCAAAGTGTGGCCTTCATACATTGCTTTAATGTTTTAAGGGAAATCCGATCCCATTCTCCCTGGCAAAATGTGGAAAGGTATTTACCCAGTTGCCCACCCTTAGCAGCAGTAGCTGTCATCAAGTGTCTCTGATAAATGGCAATAAGTCTTTTTCAGGGCTTTGGAGGAATTTGTGTCCACTCTCCTTTGCATAGAATAGAAATGAGCAAACGTCATGTGTCTACATTTGTGATAAAAAGACAAAAAAAATGTAATATTTACTGACATGACTTTCAAATCATTATTTGGTATTTATAGATGGTATCTAGTGATGGTTGTGGATACTTGGCGATATCATGATGCTAAATTTTGCAGCACCTCTCTAGCAGTAAGCTTTAGAGATGTTATTACCTGCTTAATGTGTGTGATGAAAATAAAATATATATGCTGTCATATAAGTAATAAAACATAATATGTGTTCCACTGAGGTCTGTTTGTCATATTAAAAGCACCTTTTAAAATTAGCAAATTTTGAGCAGGTGTTGATGATAAATTGTAATTGTGTATAATTAATTATAATAATTGTGTATTGAGGATAATTTCTCTGTCAGTATGATGTAATATCTTAATCATAAATGCCTTTATGTTTCCATTAGCTATGAGTGGAAATGATCATAAATAACTGAAATTAAAGCTTTAAAAACATCAGTCGGGGTTTAAGTAATCTTTATTATGTGTTTCACTTTGTGAATTGAGTTATAGAAATAGGCTAACTTTTTAATACTCTAATTTATTGATATTAAGGTATAATAGTTTTTTTATAGTAAGTCATTTACTATAAGGCTTATAACCCTTATTTTGTGTCATTATTTCTCCTTGTTGACCAGATTTTTAGTTTTATTTTAAATTTGTATGATGAATATGCTTTCTTTTATTCCGGCTTGGTGGGATTCAGCAGCAGTGACTCTGCATGATCATAAACAGAAAAGTTCAAATCAATTTACATACTACAGTACCCAAAGACTTACTGTTTTCACCCCAAGCTTCAACCTCTGCTTCTGCTGACTTATAACATTTGCGACATTCAGTGTCACTCCTCATTTTAGTAAGTTACAGAGCTTTAAGCCAACCATATATTTGCAGTTTAGATAGTGGCAGGGAAGCCAACAGTTAAGTTTTTGGATGTAAAACATTTTGGAAGGAAGGAAGGAAGGAAGGAAGGAAGGAAGGAAGGAAGGAAGGAAGGAAGGAAGGAAGGAAGGAAGGAAGGAAGGAAGGAAGGAAGGAAGGAAGGAAGGAAGGAAGGAAGGAAGGAAGGAAGGAAGGAAGGAAGGAAGGAAGGAAGGAAGGAAGGAAGGAAGGAAGGGGAAAAAAATCAATAATCCATTTTTTGTTTTCATATCTACACAGACAAGGAAAATCTCAGTGAATAAACTCTTGATTTTGCTGCATGTTCCACCAGCTCAGTCAAACACTGACGTGAGGATTGTTGGACAGATCTGGGTATCCAGGGGAGTTCCTCAGTGAAGCCAACACTCTCATTCTTTCTGAAGTTCTTGATGATCCAGGTTCTTATCTGCTTACTCCTTCCAGGAGTTTAAAAGCTGTGATGGCTCCACTTTTATTTAAGAATTACAATTTCCTTACATGATGGCAATGCTTCTCCCATACTGTAACTTTACCAGTCAGTCTTCTAATGGTATAGAGGTAGTCCCTATGACTGCTTTATTATACAAACTCCCCCATGCCTATGCCATAACTGTCCTACCAATACAATTAGAAGGTAGTTTAGCAAAAAAATGAAGTAAAAAATGTAACATTCATTGACTGTTTTAAGCTAATAAAGTGGAATTTTTTAATGTATTATATAGTTTAATATAGTTAAATCTTATAGGTAAATATCATAATAGTTGAAAGTAATTTCTATTTTTTTTTATGTAACAGTATACAGTACCTTCCAGTCATAATGTCAAATTGTTTGTCAAAGCTTTATATTTTACACGTGAAAAAAAAAGGTTACGTCAATGAAATGTTTCATCATTTTTATATATAAGATTGTAGTTTCTTTTAAATTTATAGTCCCTGTTTTTATCAATTTACTCTTATCTCAAATTTTTTTTTTCTCCCCTTAAAACAAATCAAAGTTCCATTTTAAAACTTCCACCCCTGACAATTAAAAACTGTTTTCTAGTTGGCACAAGTCCCGTCAGATCACTCCACCTTCACTTTTGTCCATTTAAGCTGCAGATAGAGACATTTCACAAGTCCACTACAAGACGAGTACAGACAAGACTGCTCAGAGAGAAATGCTCAGCATTTTAAGTGGACAGGGGGTTTGGTCAAATGGTTTGCTTTGGAAAGTTCCTTGCTGTGTGAATTTGACCTAAAGTGTCAAAATGTCAGTCATAAAAAGCCTGTAAAGCATTCAGAAAAACAAAACAAAGGTTCCTTTAAGCACTTAAATGGAATGAAAGGAGATATTTTTCAGCACTGATGACATTAGTGAAACAAAGGAACTCCAGCCTCTTCCAAAGCAACATCGCTACCTTTCTGAAACACGTAGGGGGTAGGGTCATGATGTCGGGGTCATTGTGATAAGTGTACCTTCCTCCTTCATGAAATTCACGAAAAATTAGCCTACCAAATGTGCAGCCACCATTAAAATGGCCTTCCACCAAAGCTCTGGCAAATGGCTTCAGGTCAGCACAGTACTGGAGTGACCACCACAAACCTCTGACCTAAGTTCAAGCATAGCAGATATGCGGATTGCTCCACACCTAATCTTCCGGCCCCTCTGAGCGTTCTCTTCTTGAACATATCATTTTCCGGGTCATAAATCTGTCTAGGCCCCACAGCAGGAAGCTGGTTGAGGCAGGATTGTTCAACCTTAATGCCCCCGTCCTGCTCTGTGACAGAGACCCGCAGCTGTTGCGTGAATATTCTCATCCCTCACTGTCAAATCATGGCACCAACCCAAACCCAGCAGTAGCTGCTTACTAGAGAACCCGTGGTGTTGCCAGGAACTCTGCTGAGAGATACTAGATGTTCCATATTGCTGTTTGACACTAATCCCTTTCTTGCTATATAAAGTTTTAACGGTTCTGTTTTATATATATATATATATATATATATATATATATATATATATATATATATATATATATATATATATATATATATATATATATATATATATATATATATATATATATATAACCTTGAACAGGTGTCCATTTAAAGCCATTAAAGTCTGTTTGCAATTTGTCTTAATCACAACCATCAATCATTTATTTTTATTTAGGACAAAGATGTGTACTACTAATAAGAGAAAGAATATTATTGCTTGGCTATAAAAGTGTAGTGTGGATATATTGTCATACACCACCCTACCACCAACTTTGTAGAGGCACCTTTTTGGGATGTTTCTATCTTCACACATTTAGTCAGTAAAGATGTTCTCTTTTTTTTTGTCCATTATTCTTTTAGTTCAAAGTCTTGCAAAAAAATCTCAATATGATTTATTTCTAGACTTTGACCAGACTATTTAACACGCAGCTATACGCCTCTAAGGAACATACAAAGCCGGGTTGGAAGGTGTCCAAAAAGGGGTCCTGCCACATGAAGTTGAATGAAACCAGGATGGAGGAATCGGAGAAAATCGATTTGGCGATATATGGTGATTTTCAGCGGCCCAATATAATGTTGATCTTTCAGTTCCAAATATCAATTATTTAAAACAATGAAGGAAAACGGGCTACCTCTGCAGTGCCTCTGCGGTAGAAAGTGCCATAGAGCCCTTTTACTGTGCAGCACAGCACCAATTTTGTAGTTGAGGTAGTCATAGTAGAACACGTGGAATGACTCAAAGCCCAAACAACATGGATTCTGATGAAAATACACATTACTTGCTTTTTTATCCATACATTTCATTTTGATAGCTGGGTAAAATATCGCAGTATATGACTGATATCGCAATATCAGGGTAACAATATGGTGACAAGTATTGTATCGCAAGAAACATGCCAATACTCGCCTCTACCGATACCAGGATTAGTTTTTTTTATTTTGCTTCATAAAAATATAGAAAAACGGAGAACAGTTCTTTTTTAATTCAACATTTCACTACTAGTTTATGTATAAAACTTTTTTTTTTTTTATTCCTTTGGCTCTGAACAGTAGTTTTAGAGCCACAAGAAGAAAGAAAAGAGGACGGGAAAATCACAAAGCCAACCAAAACTTAGAAGTTTTCCATAGATAGACTATATCTTCTATCAATCTAGGAATAACTGTTATGATGGCAGCTAATAATATAAATGTAATGTATCCTCGTTTATAAACATAAAAAATATATTATTTTCTACAATGTAAAAATAAGGAGGTGTAAATTACTTTAATAAGTAGAGATAATTATTTGCAACACTGATTACAAAAATGTAGAGCGTCCAGAGATTCAAAAT